CAGAAAATGTTTTTGTTTATTTTACTAAAATCATTTCCAAAATTCTTTTGAAAAATTATCGAGCCTTTTGGTGTTAACATATAGCCAGAAATACGGTATATTTTATAATATTCTAGTTGTATTCACTTTTATGAAGTTTTTTAATAAAACGAAACTCTCTATTCATATTTCTTAGACTTTTGAATTAAATTTTATACTAAGTTTAATGTTTCTTTTTGTATTGTTATTAATCAGAATTAGGATATGAATTTCTTAATTTTCATTTTTTTTATCCTAGTAAGGTTTTAATTGAATAAATAATTTAATAGCAGTATACTGCATCGAAATTAAATTATATAATGAAATAACAAGTTGCGCAAACTACGTCTGAATAGATATTAAATGGAGGGAATATTACGGGGCGCGCTTTGAACAAAACATAGTTTTAAGAAAGGTACGCAATTTAATGAGTTTCTTTATTTTTTTTCCATTTCCTTTAAACTTCTATTCAATATAGAATATTATGCAATCATTTTTCGAAAACAAAGGTTTTACAATGCAAAAAATTGCGGATCAAATTGCGGTATAAAGCGCCAATTCTATGGGTGTATCCATGAAATTCATTTTACCTTAAAAGCGATTCTTACCGTGAAATATTATACAGTAATTTTTACAGTAAAAGCTACTTAATTAGATTTATTCAGTGATTTTATTGAAATTATTGCAGCAAAAATTACGGTATATCAGATTGTTGAAGCCGGTATGTTGCTACGCCCGTTGGCTTCTTGGCGTCATTGTTATCAGCCAAGAGCCAGTTGATGTGAAACAACAAAGGAGCATACACGCTCCGCAGCGCTACCAGCGCACCCGCAAAATAAATAGTTTACAGTCCACGTTTGATTTTATATACACCCGCAAGCTATCGGCCAAACACAGATGTTTTTGTTTAGTAGCATGTTCCGGTAAAAAATGGATTTTACGGTAAAAAGTGGAATTTTTTACTGTGTTGTTAGGCTTTTAGAAGGGCCATTAAAAATAGTCAAACAATTTTCTTATTCCTACGATGCCTAATTAATAATGGTAATATGAACTACTAGTATTGTGGTAATGGATAATTGGTGTTCTGGTTGTAAAAGCCTGACCTAATCTGGTTGTAAAAGCCTTACGCTCCTGAAAAGGGTATAAAAGACCGCCGCTCATCAACAAACTTACAAAAAAAAGGGGTGTTTATAATACCATGGGAATATTTTGAAGTTTCCTTCCTCTTACTCCTACTTTAACAAATTCAAAACAAATTTGAACTGGGTCATTCGAAAATTAAAATTTTCTCCGTGCTTCTGCACTTTTTGAAACGAATCTTTGAATGAAAAATAATTTTGACAAATATATTTATAGCACAATTAATGTATCATTACACTCTGAGGAAAAAAATGTGTGGTCAAAATTACCAGAATATAGTTAAATTTACCGTGTTTCTGGCTCTATGTGAACGCCCAAAAGTGTCGATAATTTTTATCGTAGCACTTTACATTGTTTACCAAAATTATTACTATACTTATGTGATAAAATTTGGTAACTGTGACGAAATTTGGTCACTTAAAATCAGAGCTTGGTGTAAAAACGCATTTATTTGGTTAAATGTATTATTCAGTTTCGCAATTTTTACGAAATTTACGCGTTATTAAGAACAATAATTTTAAGAACCAGAATTTTCTGTAAGCCGTTACCATCTGAAATGAAAAATTACAAAATGAACGGTTTAATGAGACCATTTCTGTTTTTATCAATCAGACGTGCGTTTTTCCCCCTCTAGAAATATTATCATTATACGTAAAGTAATTTGTAGCAAAATAATTTCCTTGAATTTTTCTCTTAGGACATTTTTAGAATAAAAATGGTAGTTGAGTCCATTTGCAACCAAGAAATACCCTCCCCACTCTGACAGAACAAAAGCTACTCAGGGAACGTTTTTGTACAGGAGGCTTAGCCTTTTATTAAACGATATAATATTTTTTCTTACAATACACACACGAAAAAAAATTCCTGTTATTAACATAAAAACTGCTTTTATATTCTCATCATATTCAATTTCCAACCATTTTTTTTTCTACATTAAACTAACGACTTCAGTAATTTCTCATCTTGAATAACAATTTCACATAGATCATTTTCTAAAACAAAAGACGGGGTTGTACAGTATTTTATATAATAACAGCAATAAATACGTTTTAGCAAAATTATCCGGAAAAATTATGCGAGAATAGTTGGTAATTTATCCGGAAACGAGACACATGTGAATTGACCCTATTCTCCATTCAGCGAAACCTACTCTCCAAATTAATGTTCCAGCGCCTCATTTCGCGCCAAGCAAGAAGTGACGGACGGGAGTTAATTTCATCTGAGGCCAACCCCAATTTAGCACCTAAAACCGGGAAAGAAACTATGGAAGAAGCATGAGACCCTTGAACCGGAAACTGCCTTCATTACATCGGTCTCTATTATACGTAATTGGGAGTAATATATTGAAGGTCGCATCCAGTTACAGCCAAGAAAATAAAAGAATACCAACAGTCCTTTTTAGGAGTGAATGTGTCTGGCGAAGAAAATCAAATTAAAAATAAAACAAAAGAGATATCTTTATAATCAAGTAGGATTTTTGGAATAAATGTTTTAAATTGAAATAACGTGAAAAGAGATTATGGTGAAGTTGAAACACAATAGGGTAATAATTTATTCTTCTTGGATCGCTCAGTAAAAACATTGAAAGAACAGAATAGCCGAAAATAATTATGTTTGCTCAGAGGATTTTTAACCGCCATTTTACAGTTATAATATAGATATAAAGGAAAGGAAATAATAATATCCAATCCCTCATCGTGATTTTGTATGCACTTGCGCATTAAAAAAATTCTTGTTAAAAAATAAGAATAAAACTAAATCGATAAATCAAAAACTGCTGAAGTAATAGATATGAAGATATTTTTAAAGTTCATGCGGTTTTTTATTTTTCAAACTCTTCTATTTTTCCCTACCTTCAGTAATGATCTTTCAATTACGATTGATCTTTCAGATAATTTCTTTTTCGAACTTCCTTTGAAAGGAAACTATTATTTTTGAAGAAAATTAAAAATCATATAAATCAAAAGTTCAGTTTGAAACTGTTCTAGAAATCCCAGTGCAAAAGAAGAAAAAGTGCAAATTTCATGTCTAGACAGAATTACTTGCTTTTAAATTTCGTGATTAAAATTTAGAAACTTTGATATTAAAATTGTTTGGTACTTCAAATTATTTCATAAAAAAAGGCCCTATAATTTTAAATATATTTCCTAATTAAAAGAAGGTAAACATTTGTGCTATCATGAATAGTGGTTGATAAAACTTTTCAAACATTTTGCAGAATCACCTTAATTATTTCTATAATAGTCTGGAATTTTTGCACGAACAATAAGTTGGTCTTCCTTATTTATTATTTTATTATTAATTGCTCTCTTGGGTGTTAATTTGCTTGAAAAATTGTTTGTCATTATACGACCAAAAAAAAAATGCTATGCCTCAAAATGAAAAATTTAATATAGTTATGATTAACAAATATTTTTCTTCCTTATTTTGTTTACAGATACCAAAAAACGTAGAATTAGCTTAATTGAATTTGTTTTTTGATTAAGTATCAATATTTTCAGCTCATGATGAAAAAATAATAATTGGTATCCATGTCGTTATAAATTTATAAGTATTTGAATGAGGTACAATATTGTAAGCATAATAGAGAAACATTTCAAGATACTTAATTAGAAATATTCAAGATTTAAATCAATGTTGTTATTGAGTGCTCTATTTAATACTAATCATCGAATATCATAGATGGTTAGATGTAGAGCTATCTACAAGGAGAACAGTAATTCCGGTAAAATTACCGTACTGTATGGTATAGTATTTATGGTACGAAAAGTCATAATTCATAAAAGTCATATACGGTACTTAAATAATGGTAACATTATTAGGGAAATAATAAATGATAAATAATAGTGGTTAAATGGTAACATTTCACTGGAAATTCTGGTTATCAAAATTATAGATCTTATTACCATCCCGCTAGGAAAAAAAAACATGCTGAGAAGTAAATTTCACCGAATAATTTTTAGTTATGCCATGCTAAAAGGATTCGTGATAAAATTACCAAATTTTATCACATTTACTAATTTTTATCACCTACTATAAAATCATATTTTATAGTTAATTTTACCAAAATCGTTAACGAAGCGCTTTTGTAAAAATTACAGAACTTTTTGGTGTTCCCCTAGAGCCAAAAACACGGTAAATTTTGCTATGATATGATAGTTTATACCGTACCTTTTTTCTCAGTGTAACAATATGATTTTAAAACTACTTCAATCAAATCAAATTAATTATAATTCGATACTAAAATTCGCCAGCACTTAAGTCGCAAAGTGAGAATGTAGGTGAATTAGCCTATCTAACAATACGAAATGTTACTAAAGTCAAAATCGAAAAATATTTACTTATTTGCCTTGTCAATGGAATAATTGTTGCTTCGACCTTTCTTACAAAGACTAACAAGAGTGTGGAGTGATTGAATTGATTTTTATTCTTAAGTCAAAATCTCACCGAATTGGCATTTTGAAAAAAAAGTTCAATATTATTTTATATTTATATGCAAACTATGCATCCGTTCTAAAAGTAAGATAATTCTTTACGACAAGATGGGGGTATTGTTCACATTTGGAACCAGGTTCGAATTGAAGATGCTTCTTTTTTGTTTGGAAAAATCCTTGAAAAAAATTATACATATACTGATGGATGATACAGAATGCAGCTTCAATAAGGCATAGTTAGAAGCTTTCTTAAAATTAACATTGAAACTAAGTAAACAGTCTCTACTTAATTGCATTTTAAATCTCAGCAAGCAAAAGTAATTATCTTAATCAGGGTGAAAGAATTAAAGTTAGTAGGATAAAAAAAATACTAGTTGGTCATGCTCCTCAGGAACATGCTGGCTTTACCTGCCTTTGTAGCCCACCCACCGTTTTATCTTCAAGCTTATCTACTATACAATGGAGGTAAGTAGTCTGTCCAATTTGTGTGGTGACATTGCGTGTGGTGACAGGCTCTACTACAAATTGCTTTCCATCCAATAAGGCGGCTGGTTGTACGATGGTCAGGCCTGAGAACTTTGAAAAAGAATAGGACGGCTTTGGGTAGAAAGGAGGAGGTGGTAGCTTGCTCGTTTTTATCTGTTTACAAGTGACACCTGAAAGAGAGTAAAATTACTGATGAAAATTTATTCATTACCTTAAGAAAAATAAATAATTAAAAATAGTTTGGATTGTTTGAAAATTCCTTTAAGGTGTCAGTAAAGCTATTAAATCTTAAAAATGGCAATTTTTTTTTATTTTAATGCGTTATCGAAGATCGTAAAAATATGTTCAAACTGTTATTGATGCCAGTGATGCATGACTAAATGTAGTATTAGTTGCTACTGGTATTGTGATAATAAATACTACTGAAATTGTGGTAAGAGATACTACTGGTATTTTTGTAATCAATACAACTGATAATGTTGTAATAGATACTACTGATATTGCGGTAATATATACTACTGGCATTGTGGTAACAGATACTATTGATATTGTGGTACGTAATAGCTATTAATGGTAATGTAGTAATGGATGCACTGATATCAGGGTAATCGATGCTACTGGTATTGTGGTAATTGGTACTGTGGTAAAAGGTTCCTAGCAGGTACTATTCCATTAATTAAGTGAGAATCATTGGCATCAAGAATAGTTCGATTTCGCTTACGACCCTAGAAATGGAATCTTAATCTTTATTTTGAAGTATTGAAACATGTTTTTTTTTCTTCATATGTATAAGATATATGAAGAAAAAAATATATATATAAGATATCTTCTTTGCTTAAACATGTATATAAGATATCTTATGTGCTTAAATGTATAAAATATTCATTTAAAACTTTTGGATTATATGCAATTATAAGCAACTCATGCAATGTTTTTTAAAATAATATTAAAATCTTTGAAATCTTTGATTGCAAATGGGATTTAGAAAACGAAAGTGAACTGTGACTTTTGATTAATACTCTGATTGAAAGAAAATCCTTTTCAGAAGTCAATGAATCTTAAAAACTCAAAAATCTTTTTTTTTTAATTTTTAATATTTTAATCAAATTATTTCTGCCTCAACTATACCTCTGCAGGGAACCCTAAGCGCCAAATTGCATGAAATTAATAATTAAACCTCCTAATTGCAAGTTGCATGTAATTAAAAAAATATCTCACTGTTTTTAAAATAAATTTAGTTCAAAATATTTTCTAATCAAAAATCATTTATGTAGTATTTGTGTTCGAAACCTTATTTATGACCGAAAATTTTGAGAACTAAGTGTATTTTATGTTAGTTTTACATATACATCCAAATAACTAAAAGGAAAAAAACGAATTTTTAAAATTGTTACTTTTTTGAGCTTGGAACTAGATTAGAGTGAAGCCATATGAAATTTGCAAAACATCGCATATGTTTAACAACACAGTTAAGTACGAGATTATTCCTTTTTTTTTCTCTCTTAGAGAAATAATTCAATTTTCTTAAATATTTAGAAAGTGGGAAAAGTAATTTAAACTGTTTAATTAGGCAAAATATTTATTGCAATTACGTATACATTTTATACGAAATAAGAAACGATTTTTTCTCCATCTTGTTACCTTATGACTATGAATTATAGTAACAGTTCATCATATTATGAAATATTACGTTAAAATATTCGATAATCATTTTTTTCTTTGAGAGTAATAATTAAAATTTTTTAAACATCTAGATATTAACAAAAGCAATTTAAACCGCTTCATTATGCAAAAGATTTATTGCTATTACATATCCTTTTAATGCAGAATAAGATTCTGAATTTTTCCTCCATCTCGTTACATCATAACTATGAATTATAGTAACAGTTCATCATAATACGAAATATTACGTTAAAATATTCGAAAGTAAAAACTTCACTATTTCATTTTCTCGCACGTAAAAACATCATTAGCTCCATTTCCACCGCTCAAAAGTCCAACTAATCTTTCCATACCTAGCAATTGTATTTTAAATTTGTTCTAGCGTTGCTAGTTTTTCAAGACGTAATGATGATGAATAGTTTCCTTAATGATGCATTCTACAACTATTATTTCGAGCGCTGACTTTCCCTGCTGCGCAATTCTTAGTTATGCTCCTCTTTTCTACAAAACTGTTTTGCAAGAAATTTCTTTTGAGAGAAAGTGGTAAGAAACATAATGACAGGTATGAATGAAATCATTTTTAATACAGTCATTTCCTTAGTGGGAGTTGAAAGTTAATAAGATAGAAAGTTTTTCAGATATAATGCTCAATGAAGTGTTAGGAAATAAATTTTTAACGTTCTGAAATTTTGACTTATGCGAGTTTTATTTCCCTGAGAAATTTTGATAAATGAAAACTGGAGAAGTAACATTTCATGTTTTTATTAGGGAAAAAAACGAAATGAATATTTTTGGCACATTGTATATCTCTTAGAGATAGATTATTCATTTACAATTCGGTTAACAAATTAAAAATAGTTACTACCACTTTTTATTAAAATATACACCGAAGAGCCATTACATTATAACCACCCTGCTAATAATATGTAGGACCACCTTCAGCCCTCAAAACTGCTAACACCAGCCATGGCATTGATTCCACAAGGTGCTGATAGGTAGTCTGAGGTATCTGGTACCAAGTGCTCACCAACTGGTCCTGCAATTCCCTCACATTGCGAGGGGGTAGCGTGGCAGCACGAATTTGGTTTTCCAAGTAGGACCACAAATGCTCTATTGGATTAAGGTCAGGTGAATTTGGGGGCCAAGACATGACTTGAAAGTCACTGGAATGTTCCTCGAACCAATCCATGACGATTCGACCCTTATGACATGGTGCATTATCCTGTTGGTAAACACCATCCCCCGCAGGAAAAACTGCTGCCATGAATGGGTGAACCTGGTCTGCAACTATATTCAAGTAGCTTACAGACGTCAGGGATTGTTCTATGCGGATTATGGGTCGTAATGTGCCCCATGAAGACATTGTTCCTGGGCGAGAAACCATAAAAACCTGGGCGAGCCTATTGTTATAGATGGAGGGTGGTCATAATGTAATGGCTCTTCAGTGTAGATATTCATTTAAAAATAAATGACCTTGCCTGCTTAATTAAAATGGAATGAGGTATGATTTTTTTCGGCAGGCAAAAAAACCCAAACTCTCCTCATCAGGATTACAACTGGTAGAACGGGTTTTAAAAACAAAATTTTCTTTGTCAAAAAGACACCATATATAACATTTGTTATTCACGTAAATAGACAACTAAAATGAAAGAAATCTCAAAATTGTTTTAGCGTTTTAAATAGGTGAAATTGACTCGTTCTCACTATAAAATAGACAGTTAAAATGGTAAAAAGATTAACATGTTTTCGTTTTCGAGGTTTGAAAACACAATAATCCTTATCAGAAAGACTACCTGTGAAATGGACTGGTTATTCACGTAATTTGGACAGTTAAAATGAAAAAAGGTCGCCATGTTTTCGAGTGCTGAAAACAGAATGATCCGTATATGAAAGCTTACAGGTGAAATGGACACGTTTTTCACATGAAATAGAAAGTTAAAATGAAAAGGGCTGCATGTTTTTGAGCTCTTAAAACAGGATGAGTTTCTTCAGAATGAAAGAAGTGAATTGGATTCGTTATTCATTTAAAATGGACAGCTAAAATAGAAGTAAGGGCTACATGCTCCGAGCTCTTAAAATTGGAATTTTTTTGTCAGGAAAACTACGGTTGAATTGTACTCTTGATTGACATATTGTCTAGTGAGCTCTCGGAACTAGTCGAACTTATTTCCATTTTAGCTTTAAGGCAAAAGTTTTTTTTTCTCCATTTTTTTAAATATCTTACTAACTTTATATTTACTTATTTAAATTATTGTTTTATTACAGCTATTTATTAAGGACACTATTCAAATCGGTGTTCGTTTTGACCGATACCAGTTTGTTTTGAAAAAAAAATACAATGCTTTATTGTGGATGTATTGCTAAATAGTAAAAAAAAATCCATATGCAATACTGAAACATTTCCAATTACAATTACTTATGTTTATTGAGAACGTTTTATTCCAAATAATAATAGAAATATAATAATATGTAATACGCAACATAATGTATAATATAAAATAAAATATAATATATAATAATAAGTAATATAATAAATTATGATTTTAATAAGAAATGAGGAATTAAGAAGAAAGGAACTTAAATGTATATAGCAACAAAACGTTTTGTCTAAAAAAAATTGCTTAGTTTCAATCAAATCACCAATTCATTTATGTCTTCTTTTCATGCATAAAGAAGTCAAAAAATTAATTTCAAAAAGGCGCTCCTTTATTAATAACTAAATTTAACTTATTATTATTGACTGAATTTAAAGCTCATTAATAACTAATTAAATAATTGTATTTATTTTTATTTTTACTGCTTGTTAAAATTATCAATTAACTTATAGTTAAAGGATAATGAAATTAATATACTGTTAAAAAAGTATCATGTTCAATACATATTTTCAAAATTACAGTTTTTTTTTTGATCAACATATTAATTCACCCACAAGCAGTATAAACTAGTATAATTAATTAATTTGGCTTATCTAATGATATAAATTTAATCTTATACTTATAAATTTATTTGTATTAAACAGTTTGTAGTTATCAGAATCCTAAGTAGTAATATCTAGTATAAAAGGAATGTTCTATTTATAGTTAGCTATAGTTCATGTTTTCAAAACACAATTAACTATTCATCGAAATTAAGTGATTTTATAAAAATATTTGTAGAATATTTTCTAAAGATCTATGATTAAATTGAATTACCTAACATTCTAATCTTCTTAAATAAATATTATTTGGATCAAGTTTCCTTAATTTACAATTAGCGAAATAATATAAGAGCTTGTATATAATTGGGATTTAACTTAAGACTTAATAACATAATATGATTATTAATTTAGATTCATTAAATCCTTTTAAAAATTAAGTCTTCCTTTTTATCATAATAGTTCAATTGATATTGTTCGCGAATTAATTATTAGATTAATGATTATTTCCTCAAATTTTAAAAAACAAATCAAGAAATTATTGATTATAAACATTTCACTTACGAATGCAGTAAGAAGACTGATTTTTAAATT